CCCCCCCCCCCCCCCCCCCCCCCCCCCGGGCTGACTCCCGGGCATTAGCATTTTTTTTGCCAGTCATTTCTGCCGAAAAACGCGATTCAAAAACGTAACCAACGCGCATATAAATAGATTCGGGCCACCTTAAAGTATAGTTTGCGCGTTTACAAGAAACATATATGAGGTGAATATTCCTCGTTCTTTACGACAAGTACGTGAAACTGTTGACTTTACAAAGTCAAACGAGACCAAAAATGCAAGAATTACTTAACTCACCTGATGCAGCTCCTGAAAGCCAGTAAGTGAGGTATGAAACGTTTAAAACGCCGCCATCGAGGAACCTGATGCGACGCTTTCCTCAACGAAAAGCCAAATAACCAAATAACAGAAGAATCTTGATAGCAGCGGTTTTTTGTTAACAAATTTCTAAATGTTGCATTCTACCGCCAAATATACGCTGAAAGTTGAAACTGTCGCTTTACGTGGCTTTCAGTTGTCAAATAAAAAAGGGAAACTTACGAGGTCTCGTTCCTGAGCGTTTCAAGTCGAACAATGGCGTTCTCTGTCAACCAAAAAAAACGAATGTTTGTTCACGGAAAGTCAATCAGTGGAAGTTTTTTTCACATCAACTTGAATGCGTATTCGGACGATGAACAACTTTAAGATTCTAATACTGATCCTGTGGCCCTTGACCGCCGCACGATATGAACGTTGCTGACAACTAGTACACTATTAATAGCATGATTGTCAATCCAGACAAGCACCACTCCATGATGTCAGGAAAAATCAATGAAAAGGCCTCTTTAGCATGTATGTTTTGTTTTCCCAATGTAGGTCATGTGATATTACTCCAGAGAACTGTTTCGTTTAATTTTCATCTTATTCACATGCATATGTAAGCATAATTTATAGAGAGACAAAGGGGCAAATTCCGCTGAGACCTTCATTGGGAAAATAAACCATACAAGCTAAAGAGACTTCACCCACTCGTTTCGGTAATGAGTTTTTACGCATGAACTTACCTGTCAAAATACAAGTCTGAGACTAGATTGGTTCTGGAGCGTGGCCAAAATCGTGACAACCGCAAACTCTTGTTTTTATCATTTTTTTGTACAGTTGATCTAAGTCAAAAACGAGAAGGTTCAAGATTTTTACTTGGGTAACGTACGTTACTGATGTCATAGCAAAATTTCCTCTCATCGATAAGTGTCCAATTTCTACACCAATGAAGGCTCCACAGCGCAGACGCAGCCTCCGCTATTACTATTCTAAAGTTTTGAGACTGGATTGTTAATTAGTTATCAATTATTCCGAACAATTTTAAACTGCCTATTATACATGTTCAAGTTGAGGTTTAAAGGGTTGGTGGTCATGTCAGTCATTGGATCTGGGGAGTTCAAGGTTTGAGCCCTTAAGAAAAGAAACTATACTTCACATATATATAATCTCTCTCCCAGTTCAAAAAGCATCGACCACACCTTTCAGTGTAGTCAGTTAAAGCAGTTGCAAAAGTGGACGTTAAGACACTTTTAATTGATTACATTTTTTTTACACCATTCACGTAACCCAAAGATGTGATCCATTGAAGTCCAGTGCTGTCTTATATGTACAGATCCTTCACAGTAGGAGGAAGTGAATCTTGTAACAGCTGTACTGTTTGTTCGACTCGGAACAGCAGTGAAGAACGAGCTTTAGTTTTATAACTTGACTTAACTTAACAGTTTTTATGAACTGTAATGATAAAACCCTAAAGTTAACATTTTGATTTATCTTTCTTTAGGATTTGCCGTCCTTTCCTAGCATAGCCTCTACATCACAGGAAGACCATGAAAGCAATTCAGGATCTACTTCCTCCAGGAAGTTGAGAGTAACTCTGTTAAGTAGTGAATGGAGATCAACAAAAGGAGGCTTGTCAACCATCAACCGAGAGCTGGCCATTCAGTTGGCTAAACACTCCAGCGTGGAGGTCAGTGTTTATCTCCCTCAGTGTAGCGAAGAAGATAAACGAGTTGCTGAAAGTCACAATGTACAGCTCGTTGAAGCAGACGAAATGGCAGGTTATGACAATCCAGTTGACTGGTTGTCGTCTCTACCAGAAGGCCACGCCGTGGACTGTGTGATAGGGCATGGTGCGGTTCTTGGTCGGCAAGTGCAGTTCATTAAGCGTACTCATCCTCATTGTAAGTGGATTCAGGTCGTTCATACCTCTCCAGAGGAACTTGGAATGTACAAAGAATATGGAGAAAACATTTCCAAAGGTGAAAAGAAGCACCAGGTGGAGGTTAAACTCTGTAAATTAGCTGATCACGTTGTAGCAGTTGGACCCAAGCTTGCTGAAGCGTTTTCAGGTTACCTTCGTCCTTGTGGAAAAGATCAAAATGTTTTCAATTTTACCCCGGGCATCTTCTCTGAGTTTTCAGATGTAAAGCAGGCCGCTGAAGAAAGAAACTTTTTCAATGTTTTGGTCTTTGGGCGTGGTGACAACGAAGATTTCCAGCTGAAGGGATATGACATTGCTGCCAAAGCCATTGCTGAGTTGAAAGACATGACTTACATACTTGTGTTTGTAGGAGCAACACGGGGAGAAGAAGAGAAAGTAGCAAAAATGTTACTCCAGGAAGGCATTGACCGCAGTCAACTCAGGGTGCGTTGTTTTAATGAAAGCAGGAGGAAGCTAGCTGACCTATTTTGTGAAGTGGATCTTGCTATAATGCCATCTCGAACTGAAGGATTTGGACTAGCTGCCCTTGAGGCTTTATCTGCGGGTCTGCCTGTGCTGGTCAGTGGGAACTCTGGTTTTGGAGAGGCTTTGAAGAAAGTTCCTTTTGCTTCGAGCTGTGTGGTAGAGTCAGACGATCCTAAAGAATGGGCCAGTGCAATCAAAGTTGTTCGTCATAAAAACAGGGAGATGCGACTTGGGGAGTCTAAGGTTGTACGTGGAGCATATGGAGAAAAGTACAGCTGGAAGGAGCAGTGTGATAAACTTGTAGAACGGATGAGAAATATCATACTAGAAGGTCAGTTTAAAAAGTTGCGTAAAGCGATTATCCTCTGTAATATTAGGCTGGTAAAAATGTGGTACACCCGTATAATTTGGTATTGTGTAAATAAAACATTTTATTGTATAAACAGCAATAAAATACCAGGTGAGCTTTCGATCAAAAACAGGATTTTCTGTGACTCTAAAGCCAGGCTATCAACACTATAGATGACCTCAATCAACTAATTGAATTAAAGGGTTTTCAGAGTTTTATAGAGTATTTATTGGGTTGTGTTTAACTTCGACAACAACCACAAAACAAGTTTGATGCTACGCGGCCAGGATATGCGGGAACGACCACAAATTTTCAAACTGTTTGAAAACTCACCCGAAAATACCTACTTAAATCAGAACAAACAAAAAATACCTGCCAAATTTTTCTACCCACTTAGACCCTGTGATGGAAAATCCTTCGACCATCCCCTTCACGTGCATACTGGAGACCCTACTTTCTTTCTATACAAGTTGTAAATGACCTTGAAATCTACAAAACTATAGAAAACGATTGTTAATCTCAACATACACTAGCCCCTTTAAGACAACATGGGGGCGAGTTGGATATACCGGTATCACTTTCTTCAATTGACTGAATGATTGATCTCGGTTTTGCCAGAGAGGACCTCGGGTTTACTTTGTTCAGTTTTGTCCTGGAATGAGTTCGCAGACGTTTTTAGGGGTTGAGGAACCCTTAAAAACGTCCGCGTGGGAAGTTAGGAATGATTTTGCCCGAATTTTTTTTTTTTTCAGACATCGCTTTACTAATGGTCAGTCCCCATACCCATGCAAAAAAAAAAAATGAATTGCACAAGAAACAACTATAATCTTTATGATATTATTGGTTGACATTCAGGTTCGATAGAGAGACGTCCGCTATCTCTTAGTGGCATCCTACCACCAAGACAACCGTACCAGCAGGGAGATGCCAGTAACTATGGTAAAAAACAATCAATTAGCTTTGAAATTATTTAAGTTTGTTGTGTGTAGACTAGGAAACTAACACTTTAACATGACTCCAACCGCACTTTAGGAAACAAACACTTGTTTTAATTAAGAGAATGCGTGTTTATTTTTGTGAAGGCTAATTTCAGTTTTATTGAAATTAAGAATACGCTTAATGTCCATTCTTTCGACCTCAAACCGTTATTGCATGCCGGAGATTCTTGAGCTCAAAGCTACTACAATTCTCTCGCACCGTAGAGAGATGAAGATCCATCAGAAAAATGCTCAAAACTTTTATGAGGCCTGTTTTGTTAGGAGTTTTACATTAATGTTCAAATTGAGTCTCATGAAATTCTGGAAATTGACTATTGCGTTAATTTTCCTTATTTAAAAATTCTACGGCCACTTCTTTCGCGTTAGATTACTTTACCTTCAATTCTTGTCTGAATGTAACTAAAAGTCACCTTGATTTTAAATATCGCGTTAATTCCTTAGTTAAAAGATAGATGTATGGTGTCGGCTCTTTTGGGTTTTGGTGAAATCATTGGTGGCTGAACCTCAAGACGCCTTCACGTGCTAAAATACCTCTTCATCATTAAAGTTGATCGTGAACAAAATACTCAGTCATAGAGCAATAATTTGAAAGTGCATATGAAACTACATTATCCACTGCTTCCGATTGACAAGTGCAGCAAACATAGATAGATTTTCGAGATACTAGGCTTTTTATTATAACTGTTGACTTTTGACGCACGGCAGAACAAAAATGACGTAGTAATATGAGTGTTGCTTGCTGAGATCACATGCAACGTCAAATGCTTCAAGTCTCAAATATGAATTTAGAAACGTACTAGTAAGTACTTTGTTCAACAACGACAAAAAATAAGAAGGTTATTTGATTTGCTATCAACGGTAGAACTAGATAAAACAGGTAGCCGCTCTGTCGGGCGGTTCTCTGCGTCACAACATCGGTCATTCATGTGAATAATCAGGGTCACGGGAAGAGGGGAAGTGACAACAGCTTTCTTGTAATGTTCGATTGAAGTAGAACCTATGTTCGATTTTTACCTAGCTTAACCTGCAAATTTTACATCAGAAATATTATTGACCTTCTGCTCAAGGCTTGCGATAGTATACGGAAAAAAGAAGGCTGACCAAGTTGTCACTCTTGAATCAAAATTTATAAAATTGAACTACCTTTTCAGAAGGAACTAATTAATTAGTTTACTAGTTTATTTTTACTTACTTACAAAGTATAAACTTACTTACTTATTCTGTGTTTTCAGGAGAAAGCCTTGATCTTCGATTTGACTGTAACGTCCCTGAACAAGTAGACGCTTCATCACCCCTAAATGTTAATCGGGAGCAAAATGCCTTGGATAGAAGAATTCCATCTTCACAAGAGGTTCTGAATCTTATTGCAACCAAATATTTTGAGACCATTAACCCCTCAAATCAAGAGGAATTAAATGGTTTTCTTCAGTATATGGAAAAGGTGCGCAAACTAATTCTTGTTGATGTCAAGACTGGAAGCTTGATAATCACAGTGCGGTGTAGCTCGCTGCGTATTCTTGATGAACTCTGGGAGGATTATTGCACGGGCCATCTCAACAAAGTTGCACAAAGGTATCTTGTGACAGAAGACTTTCTCAAAGAGTTGGGTCTTGATTCAGTTCAACTTACGTTGAATATCAATGAAGAGGAGTACAAAGCTTACCGAAAACACTTATTAAAAAGTGAAGGTGGGTCCAAAAAAATCCTTTGACGACTAGTACTTTTGACTTACAATAAATTGGGAAAAGCTCTTGAGACGCGTTCGCCCTCCTTTCAAATTTTTCAACAGTGACACAAGGTAACTTCCATAGTCATAATCATACCGTCAATCTGTTTCTAATCTGAACACTGCACATTACAACAAGAACTTTTGCCAAAAAGGTTTGCGTTCTGTGTATAAGGCGATGTTTTAAAATTAAATTTCTGTACCGTTAAATTCCGAGAGTAAGGAGCCTCGTCACTTTCGCTTTTCGGACTCTTGCATTTCGAGGGAAAGAAAAAGTAATAAAGATGATGCAACTGAAATCAAAGGGTGCCTAAGGCTAACTTGTGATTATTAATTACTGTATGTTAGAAATAAAAGTTGATAATGAACCTGCAATTAGTCCATCGGTATATTTCAAGTCTATCAAAAAATGAAAATTTGTTTTATGCAAAAAAAAAAACAAATCAAAACAAAGCAAAAGGACAAAAAAAAGAACGAAAAGAAAGGATCCAGCGGCGAGAGTCGAACCCAGGACCACCGACGTGTAGAGTAGACGCGTTATCTATTGCACAACGACAGCTAACGTTAATGACGTTTGTTAAATTAATCATATTTAAGAGTTTTGCCCATGAAATTCTGCCGGTTGACGCCGTTTGAAGCCGGTAGAGTGTTATTTATGAAGAATTGAAAGATATATTCGAGGAAAACAAGCATATTTTGACAGTTTAAGCTGTACTTTAACTTACTTCGTCGCCTTTGAAGAACATATGGCCGACAAGTGTCTCGCAAAACCGTCGCGAAGTCTCTTACAGCTTGCGATTCTCGGCGTTTACAGAGGAGAATCACTTACGATTCAGCAACAGTAAACATTTCTGTTTTTATTGAACAAAGAAACATTTCATTTCAGAATGATATTTCACTAAAAACCATGAGATTGGGAGTGTTGTCGTGAGAAACGTTAAGACATCGTGAGACTCACGGCAGAATCGTGAGCTTGGGCCAGCTTCGCTTGGGAGTCGAAGAGCAATTGCTGATCTTTTCGTCATGTTTATCGCCTGGACGAGTCAAAAAGCTTCCAAAGTTCATAAAGTTCTGTGTCAAAGTTGACTCCTCTAAATGTACAAAATCAACACATCGCGATCGCGGAACGGGAACAATCTACGACAGTTGTCGTTTTGATATCGGGCGCTTTCGTGTGGAGCCGACTGATTTACGAAAGATGTCTACATCTGAGTGACAAATTTGCATATCGCAGTGCCAGACTTGTTCCTTAAGCTACGCGTAATCCACAAGTTATTAAAAAACTGCCCTATACAGCAACTTTGACCCACTGCACACCTAGACAGATATTTTTTGTCTTGTCGCACGATCCTCCGCCCATTTTTGGAGGAATCATTAGATGGCAAGCTAAAGGGACGTCTGTGTAAGAGGCTGACCGAATCTAAGCTCGCACCTCAAATGACCAACATTTTACACTGTTTGTAGAGTGGAAGTTCTTCCTGCTACTTTCTACTGCTTATCTTTGGCTTAACAATTGAATCTGAATTGAACGTCTTACTGGTTTGGGGAGTTATAAGAATTAAGTATGTGTTACCTCCATGAGCACAGACCCGGGGTAGCAGACCTGACGTAGCTGCCAGAGAACAAGGCTCAATATACACAAACATGAAAATCATAAAACATTTGCAGTTTAATTCAAGTTGGATAGCATGGTCAGGCTTGTGGTCGACTATTTAACCAAAGTGGCCGCAGTTCTGGCCCGATTATCAGCAACTTAAATTGGATCATGGTAACTAGTTATTATTATAATATAATATTAAGGCTGCCAATGAGCTGTACCTTGTCTACGTGGAGTGACTGTCCCGGTGGCTTGGTCAAACAGATCGGGGGGGGGGAAGGGGGTGTTTCTTTTTTTGTTTGGTTGCTGTTCCACAAATTAACTTCTCTTACTTTCAGTGCAATTTTATTTCAGTCAGCAGCTTCAACCTCGAAGAGAACCAAACGAGATGGGTCGTGATCGGGATTTGCTTGAACAGGCTTCTGTTGCCAGTCCTCCGTGATTTTGTGGTTAAAGAAATGCACAAACACTACGCATCCCTGAAGAGTGCACATCGAATTGACACTCAAGTCTATGGAGGTCATTTGACTCGTGATGGACCATGTCAGCTGAACTATGGAAGCATCAACAACAACTGGGGGAATTTTAAGAAAAAAGTGCATTCATATGATTACAAAGTTGGAACAGCTGAAGACCTGGCTAAACTTTATCTTGAGCCACATATGGCCAAGTTTACAGGTAACTGAGTAAATTTATTTTAAAATCAACATATGAATTTTCTCAACCATTCTGAATTGAACCAGTTGTGAGAACTGGATCGGGTTTGCGATATGACGTCTGCTCTCTCTTTCCGGACACCCTATGACAGGGGAACTTCAGTAAAGTTGGTCCCTGCAGTTCTTCATTTTCTTTGAAGTTTTCTAAAACAGTCACTTATTTTTCTCTCAGTGATGTATGTATTGGAGAGGGTCAACGGTATCACAATTTCCTTCCAATCTAAAGCCAAACTAAAGGAGTTGGAAAATCTTTTGATTTTTATGCAGCCCCTGTCTAAAGTAGCGATTATTGTATCGCTCATTTAATTGGTAGAATGTGTCTAGCATGACAATAATGAGGAAGCAACTTTTTGCCGTACTGGTTAAAGGGCGATTTTCACTAACAAAGGAGTCGCTTTAGCTTGCAACTCTAATGATCTTGGTTTTAGTACAATATGAGCGATGCTGTATTAAGCAGAATGGCAAGTTCTGTTTACGATTCGGTGGGTTTAATTTTCACGACTGCGACTTGATCGCAAGTGGGAAAATCTGGATTACGTTTGATATTAAGACTTTTATTGTGTTTTACATTTTTTTTTGGAGGGCGACTACTTCAAATCTTGACTCTTCTGTTCTCGTTTTATCAACTTAAATGAAAACGCAAGATAGAAAACAATGTATCAGTTGAGAAACTGAGTCATATCTCACTCCAACTTTTATTGATTTGTAGGGTTTGACAACACATGTGACCTGAATGCAGTGTTGGGGATTCTGGAGAGAGCATCTGTTTTTCACACTCACATCCAAACCAGTGCCAAGGATGTGCGCTCCAAAGTGAGAAATGAGTGGGGACACTGCAACTTTGACCACTGGACCGAGCTGGAGTTCGAGAACAGTTTTAAACTGATGGAGACCATGGTTCGGTTACTGGGGCTAGCAGAAGCCGATGAAGACAAGCAACTTGATGAACTTCATCACTGGGAAACAACGGGTAAGTAACTGGTCCGTTCAGATGCGTCAGTTAACATGACTGTACACACTCACTCGTTTGTAGACTGGAAGAAGTGAAGTCGCTTTGTTGTATTGAATAGGGATCTTAAGATCTGAGGATCGCGGAGGCAGCATAAACGTCGCTTGAGAAGATATCGCGTTACCTCAATATCCAACTCACTAACTGAACTGTAAACCTTGGGCGAATTCTCCTGGATTTGCATTCCTTAGAACCATACCCAAGTTCAGAAGGAAAAAGAAAGTTTCGTCGTCGCTTGTTTACGTCCTCCATTAAACGTGAAATTATGCAATTTCATAGCCGTGTCGTAGTCATGCAGGGACCGTAAAGAAATGTACAAAAAAAGTGTGATGCACGTTGCTTTTCTATCGTTCTCGATGTCGTCGCTGTTGTCGGATCTTAAGGTCTCTAATATTTAACAGACAGCAACGTGAAGACTGTGCCTTTTAAATGGTCGAACTCTGGTCCCTAGTGCCGATTTCTACGACTACGAGAACCTCTTTCTTTCAGATTCTAAGAAAAGAAAGGAATGACTATGAAAGACAGAGTGCTTGCGCTATCGGATAGCGAAGAGGTTTGATAATGCTTATTAAGAAAAATGAACTGCTGAGATATATATATTATATATTTATATACCAGAAATGCACTGAAACCGGCGTTTTTCGTTTTTTTTAGTATCTTCATTCGACACAGAAGTTTACTTTCTATATATATATATATATATATATATATATATATATATATATAACTCAAGACCTATGGGCCCTTCGAATTGTAACGAAAGCAACTGCAGCAAGAATGAAAAAAGGGCTTCCTTTTATATGTAAGGAACTTTAACTAACCTGACAGGCTTTCTTAAAGCCTGAGGAAGATTGAGTTTAACGTTTCACAAAAAAACGGCATAAAATCCTACGCGAAAAAACCAAAACCTTTTAATATTGATTTCTGCAGTAATTTACCAAGATAATTGTGATTTACAGGCTTACAATTGTCCATGGGCTACCCAGTGGATAAAGATTTGATGAAGCTTATCAGTGTTGAAGTTAACGACGTGGAAAAGGAAGTGGATAATATAAGGCAATCCAGCTCCGATGAAGCCAACAAGATAAGTGCTGCCCTTCTAATTATCAGAGAGGAAATCGCAAACCTTGACAAGCGAATCATTGAAATTGAAAGAAGAATGAAGGAAGAGCGAAAGGAACGGATAGAAAAAGAGGAAGTTTTGTCGAATACAATTGCAGATCTTTCAGGCACCTTATCAGAAGTAGACAGACTTGTAGAAGTAGTACCAGAAAGGCATAGTAATTTAGAGACCACTATATCTACTGTATCAGACGAACAAGCTTGTCCAACTGCAGACGTAGGGGCTGTAAAAATGGGCCAAAGTCAGTTGGATGCGATGGTTGAAGGGCTAGAAAAGGGGAGTTATAAGACAACAAATGCTAAAATTTTTCAAGTGCCCAGCCGCAATCATTGCATTTGTGGTCGCGATAGGGAACTAGAGGCAATCGCAACGCAACTAAAAAATATCCAAAACGGTTGCATTTATTCAGCTATTTGTGGTCTCGGTGGTGTTGGGAAAACGTCTGTCGCCGTAGAATTTCTCTGGCAACATAGGGGAAAATATCCAGGGGGTATTTTCTGGATTTCGGGTGAAAGTAATAATATTTTTCAAAGGTCTGTCGTTGAGATGGCGCGACAAATTGGAACGTTAGGAAACGATTTTAATAACTCCTTGTCGAGAACCCTTGATTGGCTGCGAAACCGCGACGAGTTGTGGTGTTTAGTGATAGATAATCTTGATGAGTTAGAAATGTCCAAAGAAATGCGTAAGCTGCTTACTGGTCACTGGAAACATGAGGCTTGTGGGCACATCATCATAACAACAAGGAGAGAAGCCTCAGATATTAAAGGAGAAGCAGGAATGGATGAGCAATGTTGCATTGAGTTAAAATGCTTGACTCAAGAGGAAAGCATTTATTTCCTACGGATGCGAACAGGTAAAGGTGAGGGCGAGGACAACGACTTACTTGTACTGGTCAAAGAACTTGGAGGACTGCCTTTAGTTCTTGATCAAGCTGGGGCCCATATACGGTGGCTTAAACAGTCCATAAAACAGTATTTGGAGAAATACAGGAGGCAGAAGCTACTTCTTTTGAAAAAGAAAAAAGGCCAACCTTTTGTGGAAAACATTTCTTCTGAGCGGGTAGCTGTCCACACAACATGGAAGTTGAATTTTAATCAGATCAGCCTTATCTCAGAAGAGATGGAACTCGGACAAGCCCCGGTTCTTTTAATGCAGGTTTGTGCTTTTTATGGCCCAGATGACATTCCATACGAATTGGTCAATGCATCGCTTAAGGAGGATGGCAGTTCTGCAAAGGATAGCAGACTGTGGGATCAATCTGAAATAATGTCTCTCCTTATTAAGTTTTCCTTGTTTCAAAGATACGGAACAGATTCGTTCAGTGTACATCGTTTAGTGCGAGAAGTTATTCAAAGTCACCTGGAAAAAGAACAAACTGAAGGGAGTGTTCTTTCTCATTCAGCTCGTGTCCTTCAGCAAGCGTTAAAAAATACACTCTCGCCGGTGGAAGTCTGTGAAAGCTTCCCTGAAGACGCTGAATTAAGTATGGAGAAAGCCCCTTCGTTGAGACTTTGGGGCAAGTTGGCCTCACACTGCTGCTACTTGCAAGAGAATTTGCGCAGTTACTCGGCTAAACATAAAGAGTCCGTCCGTACCTTGTTGTACACGAAAGAAACAGTACGCGTCTTCAATGACGCAGCTTTATTTCTCAGTGTTTCCCAAGACAACGTTAAAGCTCAAGAAATACATAACCTGAAACTGAACTTTCTGGCTAACCTCTCAAAGTCCAACACAGAAGAAGGCACTGAATTGTTGAAGTACTTCATTGACATGCCTTTAAAAAAAGGAGACTACAAACTGATATCTTACTGTATGAGGCAACCTGCTCCTGAAGGCAATTCCGTAGATGTATCAGATACTCCCCGTAGGGCCAGGGAGGAAAAAGCTTCCCAGATCAGGGAACAAGGAAACCTTGCAGTAAAAAATACAAAGTTTCAGGAGGCCTCAGTACTGTATTCTAGTGCTATTGCTTTGTCGCCAAGCGACGGTAGACTATTCGCCAACAGAGCTCTCTGCTATTTGAAACTCGGTCAACCGGAGCAAGCTCTAGATGACTGCGAAAAGTGCCTGTTATTAGATCCTTATAACAGCAAGGCACTTCAACGTAAAGTCTGGGCTCTTCACGACCTTGTTAAACGTGGAGCTCTTCACCTCGACGGGCAGAGGAGAGCAGCACTGGCAGTGGCTGTTCACATTCATTCCACTCTTCGAGATGAAAGACTGTTTAATGAAATGTTTCCAGAAGTACGCACGCATTCAGCGAGAGAGGTATACAATGAAACGCAGTTGGCTTTTGCTTTAATGACGGCGCAACAAAACGAAACTTTGCTTTTGCACGAAGGAGAGTATAGTTTAGAAGCCGTTGTCTCCTTTACAGACGTTCAAATTGTAGGTCTTGGAAAAGGGGCCACTTTTAAGTGTCCAAAACAGTGTGTTATTTTAGATTCCAGATGCTATTTCGAAAACATCAATTTTCCCAAAGAAAACAGTAGTCTAATCTGCCAAGGCAAGAAAGCAGTTACTCATTTCAGGCACTGTGAAATTGCAGGAGGTTGGACGGGCTGCAAGAACTTTCCAGACTGTAACGGAGGTCCCGGATGCATAGCGGACGCACTGGGAAGGCCTGTTTGCAGTCGTACAGGAAAATTTGGACATCAACCTTCCATCTCTGGTATTAAAGGCTTTCCAGGTGTTCAGATTCTTAACGGTGCTTTAGGCCTTTTTGAAAACTGTTCAATTCATGATTGCGGTGGAGGCGGCACTTTAGTTGCAAAGGAAGATTCTCGCATGGAAGTAAGAAAATGTGAGGTGTTCAAAAACAGTCAGAGTGGTTTAGAAGCAAGAGAAGGGGGTAAGTTGATCGTTTCTGGAAACAGGATTTTCGGCAATGGTTCCCATGGCATCTCACTCGGCCCCGGTGCAGGGGAATGTGAAATAAATGAAAACAAAATATTTGAAAATTTAAAAGAGGGTATGCTTGTCTTCAAAAATACGAACAAAATTGTTATACGAAACAACGATGTTCATCACAACAGGCCATTTGGTCTGTATCTAGAGGATAGTTCTTTACTTATAATCAGTGACAACAAGATTTTCGAGAATGGATTCTGGGGTATCCTCGCTAAATCAAGAATTTCTGCCAGTATAAGAGGAAATGTTATCTCTGGCAACAAATGCGGTGGCGTTTTTATCGGCAATACTTTGCCTGGGCGAATTCACCTAGAATCAAATATTGTCCGAGGTAATGGTGGCCCGTGGGTTCATAACGAAGAAACCACCAAAGACAGTGTTTCCGTTGATGAACGAGGGATACCACACAATGTAAGAAAGATCCCTGGGAATGTTTCAAGGGGAAAAAACCCCAAGTATAATTCTAAACCTCTCGTTGTTAATGGAAACAAAGTATTCAACAACGAGGAAGGTATGTTTCACCCAAGAGAGGTCGCCCAGCGCGTTTACAGTGGATGCACATATTGCCACCGCTCAAGTGATGAGGTAAGCTATCTCATAAAGTGTCCAACTTGTCACATTGCGTCTTACTGCAGCAAAGAATGCCAAGATGATCACTGGCCAAAACACAGAACATTGTGCAAAGCCCTGAGAAGCCGTTATTCCGTAACAGTGAAGATCATTCCTTCTGCATGGCAAGGGAAACTGTCTCCAGTGCTAACTTCTGGGTCTCCCTTAAAAGGTCAAGGAACAGGTTGTGATCTCGATCGAAACTGTGATAAGAAGTTCATCGTAAAGATTCAAACCCAAACTCTTAATAGCGATCCATTGCACTTGTTGTTCCTTTGTGACAAGAACCGTTCTCTAGATTGCACCATTCAAAGGTCAGAAATC